TTTATTATTATTATTTTTTTTTTTTTTAAAAAAAAAAAAAAAAAAAAAGAGTAAAGAGCAAGGAAGAAAAATAAAAGAACAATTTGCTAATATAACTTGGTGTTATTAAACGTTGGTTTTTATGACGTTTCGACCAAATTCGGCAAAGGTGATATCCCCTACCTTTTCTTCCAAGGATGGTTGCATGAACACTGCAAAAGTATTTCTGGCTATAAAATTAAGCGGGACATCACTTTGAAAATCAGGAGTAATACCCGTAACCATGTGAGGGGTCGCTCGAAGATTTTCAGCTGAAGCTAATTGCATGGCCGCACCAAGTTGAAAGGCTAAACAATCTTTTGGTATTGAAGTTCTGATAATCTCATTATGACGATTTTTAATGTAAAGCCCTGCTCGTTTGTCTGGACATTCGATTTCAGTGTAGGTAGGATCACGTTCATCAACATACATCGCTGATGTCAAACCTGAATAAATCTTATTTAGCAAAGAACGGGCACCCGAAATCTCACGTATCTTTCATACGTGAATTTACCTACCTGTAAGCGATGAGTGATCGACATGCCATCCGCACCAAGAATCATCAATATCTTTCAAAACATTCTTTTGATTCGTTTCTTTAATAGGAAAATAATGCAAAAGTCGACCCTTGATGGTTTGTGATTCGTCGATGATCCTTTCTAAATAATTCGGTTCTGATTTCGATAGCCTAGTCGAGACTGCATGTTTTTTTCATTTCGTGATTAATAAAATCGACGAATTTAAAAAGGCACAAACGTACTAACCAAACGAATCACACGCGCGAGCAACGAGTTTTCCAACATCAATGATGAAACATCCCAAATCTTTAAATGCTACTTCAAATTCTGGAAGATCTTCCCTTGGCCAAAGATTTGGACGACAGTACATTGGAAACTCTTTCAATTGTTCTTCGGTCACGTTAGGAAAATCAAATTTCGGATTCCCATAATACGATCCTTTCGATGTATCTACATTCATGATTTTGATTAATTTTCGCATGGTTTCTCATTTAAGATCCAAAAAGAAAAAAAAAAAATTTTCATAAGATACATACCTTTCTTACCGTCGAAAACTTCTTTACCGTAGCTCCACCCAGACAAGTAATAACCTTGTTCATCAACAACCTTTTCTTTAACTTCCTCAGGTAAGGCAGCGAAAATCGAAGATAAACGTAATAAACGAGCACGTTTCTTCATATATGATTGAGGAAGATTTTTCACCAATAATAATCCAAGACAATGTGGTTTTGAACCGAATGCTTCCTAAGGATTTGACCTTGTTACGATAAATTTCTTATGATGATAAGATTTTAATATTATATTAATTTACCTCGATAGCATCAAATAAATCAACATTATTTAAAAGATCAGTATAATTTATGATCACCGCTCCTTCAAGACCTTTAGTATAATTTAATTTCATTTTTTTTTTTTTTTTTGCGATTATTTAAAAATTGGATGAGAAATTTTGGAAAGGTTATGAAGAAATGATCGGCTTAAATCTGCTTTTGAAAGTTGTACAAATTTCAATTATATTTTAAAGTGACATTATATCATAATAGCTAATTTGAAAAGAGTTTCATGATTCATTGTGTTAATTCATTGTTCAACATCCTAACCAATAAACTCTAACTCTAACTAAATCCAACGAACGAGAAATTTTGGCACGGCTTGCTTTCTTCTAAAAGTAAAGTAATTAATGACTATCAACTTTTTTTTAAATCTATAAATCATGCTTTCTCACGTTAATTTCATTAATTGTTGGATGAATATGTGATATGTGATATGTGACACCTTAAATGACATCCTAACCATATAAATCTTTATTATGTGAAATGCACTAAACAAATTAATACATTCAGTGCAATTGTTTACAATTAATAATTGTCTGATGACATATGACACATCGCATTATCGTTGGACAAAAGAATCAAAAAATTCGCTTTAATAATATGAGAGAAAAATTAACTCTAATGAATCTATTAAAATCAAACAATTAAAATACGAGGAGTTTGTACCTTGTAAAAGAAAAAACAACAAAGAATCAGAATGGAAAGACTTTGAAAATTTGTTCAAGTTTCATCGTGTATGACATTGTTATGTACAATAAGATCTTGGCAATCAAAAGATATATTTTAAAAAGGTTTTTATTTTTATAATTGATAAGGGGTAAAAATTATTAAGGGAAATATAATTAACCGATAATAGTTAGTCATTTATTTACTGTATAATATTAGAAACAAAAGCTTCAGAAGCATTTTGTATGCATATTTATGTTGCAATCAATTATTTTTATCAAGAAGACCCATAAAAAATAAATTCATGCTTTTACGAAAAATTAATTGGATATATGTTGGAGTCTCCGCTTCTTTATTGAGATGATCCATCAATTTTCATCTTTTTTCTATATTCAAATTTGTAAATGCGAAAACAAATTTCGTGTGGCGTGATTGTGAAAAAAATATATTCAATAATTTAGGAAAACCATCTTTATGTTTATAAAGTTTTTTGATAGTGTATGTAAAGAAAAATTCTATTTATATATTTTATATGTTTCCCTCCTTTTATTTTTTTAAAAAAAAAACCGTTTTCGTTAAATCCCTCTTTTTTTTTGATTTGTTCTGTTAAATATGGGAATTCATCTTTCAAAAAATAAACAATACAAAGAACTTGGTAATAATAATGAAGATAACAATAACGAACAGGAAATTAATAAAGAACGAAAATATTATTTGCCTAATGATAATGAAGATGTTGATAGATTGCATACCGCTCATTTTTTAACTCGATATTTATATACAAGTAACTTTTCTTCACCTATAGAAAAAAAATTAATTCAAGGTGGAGCAAAAGTTATAGATGTTGCGTAAGTATTTGGTTATAAAATGTTTCATTTTTGATTAATTTTTAATTTTATGTCACCAATTTCTTATTGTTATCAGATGCGGTCCAGGAACATGGCTATTAGATGTCGCCGGGAATTATATGGAAAGTTGTTTCATTGGAATTGATTTAGAATTTGTATTTCCAAGTGAGGTATGAAACATTTTTTTTTACTTCTTTTAATATTTATATTTAAAAGAAAATTAACCGTTTCATTTTTTTTTTTTTTTTTAATACTCGATTAAGATAAAACCGAAAAATTTGGTATTCGTACAAGCAGATATACTAAATGGGTTACCTTACAACGATGATGAATTTGATTTTGTACATCAAGAAAATATGATGCACACACTCGAATCAGACAAATGGGATTTCGTAATATCTGAATTGGTTAGAATAACAAAACCTGGTGGATATATTGAACTATTTGAATCATCTACGTCGAGAAAAGATATTGGACCTAAATTTAACGAATTTCTTGATGCACGTAAGTTATTTTTGTTTTTTTAAAGATAATTGATTTTTATCTAACCATTTATTATTTTTCTTTTTTTTTTTTTAGTTTTTCTTTCAGCGTCAATACGAGGAGTAGATATGAATATAACACCACGTTTACCTTCAATGTTACAATCTCATCAAAATATCTGTAATGTTCATAAGGAAT